CCAAAGAAGAGGACGTCGCTGGTGTTCAGTCACCTCGAATAAAACATGGCCCAGCTTTTAATTAAGAACCTAATTGTGGCAAATTCGGAATCACATGAGTGAAGATGGGTATTTGCGGGGTTTAAATCACCGAAAAAATTCCATCTCGAGCAAGAGCCACGCTTGCGGAAACCGTATAATATATGTAAATTTAAAATAGAAAGATAAAAAGAAAGAAGAGGCAATCCCATTCTCCCGAGACGCAGTTCCGAATAGAAAACAGCAACGTTATCAAAACAATCAAGACGGAATCAAAGAGCGCGATTGGCCGAACAAGCATTTCCGGTTATTGAATCCGGAACAATCATTGGTAAATCACTTGCGATTCCCTTTTGTCTGCGCTTCACGAATTACACATCGTCGCTTCAAAAACTAAAACAATTTTATCGTCTTGTGGAGCTAATGTAGCGGGGATTTTTTTTTCTCGACGACGCCCTAGATAACGAGCAAATAAAATTACTGGATTAATGCCCTAGACAATTTACTAAACCCGTCACATTTCATAATTAAAATCAGGAAAAAATCCATTCAGAAATTACAGTATATCTTCATGACAATCTGTAGATTATGGACAGTCATTATGATTAAACCAATTTAAGGCTCATCAAATTAAGAACTAAACATCACTCTGATGCTACGGGAAATTCACTGTCCCTTTCTCACTCATTTGGACGAGAAACGAATGGATATTGACGTGGATTTTCTAATGAACAAATTGGGAACTGCTCATGTCACTGCATCTGTTGATCAGGTCGATCTTGGATGTTTGATTACGATATACACAGCTTTTCCACGTTATCAGCACTTGTCATAATTACTCCTGATTATTTTTGGAAATTTTATTAAAATTGGTATTTTTAGAAGTTGCATGTTTGTATTATTTGTATAATTTGTCACTTATTTTGGTTTGTTTTATTTTTAAATTTTACAATTTTGTGTCGAGATAAATTATATACGCAAATTAAGGTTTCCTGTTATTATTCTCTTATCACAATAACAGTATCAGAATTTTAAGCTTTCATAAACCACTCATACTCGTAACAATATCAAAACATTATGAATACATTACAAAATACTTTCTTCTTTGATTCTATACCTACCTAGATAAATATTTTTGTATTTCTTGCATTAAGTACAATGATCGATTGTTATATACAGTATGTCCCCGGATTGAGTTTGCAAGTGAAAAAAAAAATATCTTTGATTTTAGGCTAAAACTGCAAAGGAAAAACATTTTTTATTTGACCTGAAATTAAAACTTCATTATTTTGACTCAGAGAAAAGAAAAGTTTATTTTTCTCTTGATTTTGGACTTAATTGTTTTTCTCTGCGTTTTAAACTTCATCACCTTGGTGGTTTTATTTTTTGACAACGATGTCATTTTGACAAATAATAAGTTTACGCAAGTTAAATAACAAAAATGTTTATGAAAAACATCATTTTAAGAAATCGAAACTCAAAGAAACAGCTTTGAGATGAAAAAATAAAGTCATTTTTTATAAAGGCAATTATTATTCAATTAATTAATTAATTAATCGTTAAAGTGGCATCGTTGTTAAAAAAAAAATAAAACCGCCAATGTGATGGAACTTAAAAAACAAAATAAAAAAATTACTTTCCATCACTGAGTTAGAATGATAAAGTTTTAATTACAGATTTGTTCGTTTTAGAATAAACAAAAAATGTTATTCCTTTGAAATTTTGGTGTATAATCAAAGATAAGATTTTTTTCTTCTTGTAAACTCAATATGGGGACATACAGTATATTATTTGTATTTCAGATTTTGAATTTCAATACAAAATTCTTTATTAATTCCTCAATAATTAAAATATTTTTTGGTTTTGACAACTGTATTTAACATTTTTACACGTTGTTGACAGCTACGATATCTGATTTTTACAAAGCATTTGTGTAGTTTCGCGCACGCAGTGCTGTAAAATAATAAGAAAATTTTAGGTTTTCAGAGACTCCGAAAAAAAAGATACTTGATGATAAATGATAAATAAAGTCCATTAATACTGAGAGAAGTTACCACACAAATTTATCTACTTAGTATTCAAAAATACACAATAGTTATTTGTATTAGGTACTAGGCCAGAAACTGTCATTTTGCAAGTGCAAGCACTTGCAAAACAGTTTCTGGCCGTGTGATACACAAAACAGACTTGACATTTCAGTGTCACTCAGTGCTACCAATACAAAAACTTTCATTACAAAACCCTGTTTTTATTTCCTTGCCTCGACACGCAAATGGGTGTTTTCAAGACGATTTGGACGATTGGAAAATCATTAATTTTAGACGGAGGCCGAAAAAAACAATTTTTTGCCATCTCGTGGTGAAAATAGTAAACCCATAGACCCGTCATGTGTTGACAAATCGAAATTTAAATTAATCGAAGAACGGTCTTCGACCAAAAAGTTTAGTTTTTGTATTTTACAGCGTTCAGTTTTATTAAAGCTCTCAGCTTAGTTTCGAGCTTCAGTATTAAAACTCCACGCTGTAAAATTATACCTACCGCACGTATACCTAATGTAAATAATTATTTTTCTTAGTTCTTAAAATTTTTGTTAAATTAAAAGTAGATTATATACCGAGGTGTGAGGTGGGAGGTTCGCAATAAAGCCGAGGTTGTACGATGAACCAACGACCACTAAGGTTTGTATACTATTTTATTCACAATCATCCTCTCTAAAGAACAGAAAGCCAATAAAAAATTAATCAAATTTTGAAATTTTGAAAATCATGACATTGACACTTTAGGTTGGGAAGTGGTTATTTTCTTGTCAGTTTTTTGGTTGGGAACTGCTCAAACCGTCATATTACATACCAACTGATAAGAAAGTGACCACTCCCAACCCGAACTATGAGTATTTCATATACTTTCCAACTTTTCACATTCAAGGTAATTTGATTATTACTTTATAATTGTGAATAGAATTTATTATTAGTTATTTCTACCATTTCAACACTTGATGAATTAGTTTTGGATTTTTTAAGGCAAGAGCAACTCTTTAATAGATGTATGTACAACACAACAAAGGTTTTAATATGAGCACAATTTTTTGAAAAAAAAGTTATCTTTAATCGAAAACATAATATTGTAAGATATAAAAATCAATTTCATGTCTTACCCAATATGACAATCAGATAAATCTAAAAATGTACTGGCGCAACAATTTTGTTTTATCTATAATAATCTGTTTATCCAAGAGCTTATTTCGGTATTATTTTACTTAAAACATTAATACTATCACGTAAATATGTTCACGTCACGACTAAGTCATAAAATGCTAGGTCCCATTGCATTTTTGAAGGATTATAATTTTTTAAATATTCATCACCCAGAAACTTTTGATAAATTGAAAAATAAATTATTTCGGTCGAACTCTTCACTGTTTCCATTGTCCACTTTGAGGACTTAGCCCTTGAATCGTCAACCCTCGGGGGTAAATACACATAACAGGGGAAGCAGATAGAGACAAATGAAACAAGTGAATGCTGGCTTCACGCGACATTAACCTGTTGTTAAAACCCAGCAGCTCTCGAAACTGCCCGCGATTAATTCCCGTATACGCCCTGTCTTTACTTATTTTCCAGAAGCTAAATCTTCCCGAATAGAGTTTTTCTCATCAGCCACACAGTAGTAATGAAAATAGGTATTGTTGAAAAATTGAAATTTAGTCATCAAACACAAAACAGACTTGTCTTTGTTCCCGACGCGAAGAGGGTGCGATCACATGTTCAATTAAAGCTTTGTTCGGCGGCTCAAATAATGGAAAGCTTAATTCCACTGAAATAACACTTCGCGCTGACGTTAATTTCAGTTTTCTTGTATTTGTTCGAGATTATTAATCGCTTTTAAATTGATTTATTACTTTGATATATACAGTTCTGTAATTAATTGACCTTTTTAGTGCGTTTATTTGAAAACGGTTAAGTTTTATGGCCACGATATCACAAAATAAATAAAAGACACATTGTTACATTAGTATGGCGGGGCGAGACTAAATTAACTTTCATGACGCGGTTTTATATAATTAAGTTCACACAAAACCCAAAATTTATGACATCCAATGATTTATAATTTATTTGCATACGAATATCTCGATAAAATTTTGATTTTTGCTTTATTGGATTCGGGGTATGGCGGCGTTAATTTGAAAGGAGGGTGCATTTCAAAGCCTCTGGTGTATTGCATGAAATACGACTCTTTCGTAATTACACCTCTACATGATTTAATCTTTACTAAATTAATTAGACGAATCTCATAATTGAGTTGTGGATATTTGTGAGTGAAAATTTTTTATGCTTTCGGTGAAAACAGCCCGTTTATGAAAGCGAGGGTGTTTTATTTTATTTTTTAATTAATGAGACGTTTCCGGTGAGAGTACACAAAATCCATCATTGATTACGACACTCTTACATAAAACGAAATTATTGCCGCAAAATAAACGAAAGGGGTAAACAGACAATGCACTGTTCTTTATTTCCACCCCTAATCTGACCTCGCATAATATTAAGACCCTTATCGTTTTCCGTATCACGTGGAGTATAGACACGCGATGTGTTGATGCCAACTCTTTTATGCAGTCCATTTAGAAAATGCATTTTCATTCGACTAATGTCATACAGTTCAAATTTAATTACTGAACGATTTGCACTCAATCGAGAGACTTTTCGATTTTTATCCATTGACAAAACAAATCCTTACTGATTGTACAATTTCATAAATTATATGTTACACACAGTAGATTGTTATTTACAAAAGAAAAGATAATATGGAATATACGAGCTGTCTTGTGTTATTTTTAAAATGTAACATTTTTTTCAAAGTGCACAAACAAGATAAATTACATTTTGAAAACAACAAACTGAATTGTTTTATACCGGAAAAGGTCAGTGATGATAATGATGATGATCATGATTAGGATTATTTATATAAAATTGACACAGTTTTCATTCATTCTTGTCACGCCACGTATGACAGAAATTTATTTCCAAAATGAATTGTTTCGTTATCTTTGGTGAGTGAAGATTTTTATTTTGTACCCGTCAAAGCAACTTTTCAAACAATTTGTGTTCATTCGAAATACATACAATGTTTTTGCACGTACGAGTATATAATTGTTTAAACTTAATTTTTGAATACAATTATTTAAAAAAGAATTACTTTTATTTTAAAAAAGTATGTCTTAAAAATGTACCTACTTTCTTCTATTATTCAATTAATTTTAACACAAAAGTTTTTGTTTTGAAATAAATTAAAGAAAAAACAATTTTTTGGTTAGGCAAATTGTAATCTTAACTTATAAATTGACATTAAAGTAAAAAAGTACAAAACTACTTTTATTAGAATACAAGATTTTTTTCTGATTTTTAATTTCTATCACCTGACATTGTAAATTGTAAAAAGGTATATAAAAAAATAATATTAATAAAATGATCAAGTTTTAGCTGTCCACTTTTTATAAACATGGCTTTTCTTGTTTTTTCTTTTGGTTTTTATAAAAAATTTTGTAACAAAATTAGTTGTATATTTATGACAGTATACAGGCTTTTATACATTTCAAGCCCTGTCGTCAGAATGTGAATAACATTACACTAATGCAGGATGGAAACAATTATATTTACTGATTTTTTAATTTTTATTTAACTTTTGTTAAACTATGTCTTCTTGACCAACTTCTTCAGCTTAGTATTTTTTATAGTACAGTATTTTTTTCTTCATTATGTACTACTTCCTTTCTCTAATGTTTTTGTTTTTTTTTCGTTTCTAAGCTTGGGAATCTCTTCTCCAATATTCGTTTTTTATATTTTTTGTTCTTCCTTTTTTATATTTTATTTTAACTTTTGTTTATTATTTCCTGTCTTTATTTTTGTTTCACTTTTTTTGTTTTTATATTTTTTAATCAGAAATGTTTCAAATATTTCTGACGAGACTTTATTTTATGTATACTTTCAATCTCATTATTTCTTTTAAATCTTCATTAATATGATATTAAAATGATTTTTTCAGATTAGTTTCAGTTCAGTCATTTTATTTTTGTTTGCTTTTTTCTACTTTATAACTTTCCAGTTTGCTTGTTAAATAAATCTTGGTGTTTTAATTTTTTTCTTTGTTTTAGTATGTATCTCATTTTCTTATTTATCTTATTTTATTTAAATTTTATAAAGATAAACATGTTTTATTATAAAAAAAATCTAATTGTAAAAACATTTTTATCTTGATGTTACATCTTAAAAATACATTAGGTACACATATTTTTCGCAAAATTGTTATATGTTAAAATCAGCTAACATAAAGAGTACAATCTTCTGTAGTTCAAAAATAAAAATGTTCTGTTTAGATGCTACACCTTTAAAATTATTTAGAAATTACCAGTAAAAGAAAAAAATTTGTGCCTACAGTAAACATATTAATAAGGTACCTAAAGCAAATAAGGCCCACTTAATTTTTACGATTTTTTATATATTTTTTGAAATATGCAAAGGTTTGGATTTATTATAGAAATTGTAATTTGAACTTTTGTTTAACAATGTGTACCACAAAAATGCTTGTTTTGTTACTTTTTCTACATGCTTTTAACATAAATATAAAATATTACAAAGGGCCTTTTTTGGAACCTTCTAGCCCCAAATAAGGCCCACCATCGACATTAGATAAGGCCCATATTTAAAATTTGAGATAGGATTTTTCATTAAGCGTACTAACATAAGTTAAGGAAAAAAATCTTTAATAAACAAACAAAAAACAACATAAAAAATTCAAAAAAAAAATAAAGAAACTTCAAAACATGTATTGATATGTAACTAGAAATATTTAATTTTAACATCCAACACAATGACGCATCATTTTATAACATATTTCACCATTTGCAGTCAACTAAAAAACATATCTAGGAGTAACTTGAGTATGATTGATAATAGATGGCTGGAGGTCCAACGTAGGCTATATGGTTTTAATTTTCTTTGCAATTTAAACGAAAAATTAACGGTGGGCCTTTTTACGCACCGGACCTTATTTGCTTTAGGTACCTTACAAGAAGTTTAAAATTCAGACATCATTTATTGTTTTATAGTTTTATGCATTAATAATAAATATTGTGCATTACAGTAATTTTGTTACCTAATAATTAAAAATGATATTGAAAAATTGTTTCAGTCTCTGTCGCCCTTTCGGTTTCAACGACAGTTTTCGCTCAGCCTTTGAACGAAGATGAAATAAGGGAAAACGCAAGAAAAGTAATGATGGACTGTAAAGACAAGGTTGGAGCTTCGGATGCAGATGTGGAAGCACTAAAAATGCACAAAATGCCCGAGTCTCATGAAGGTTTCTGCATGCTCGAATGTGTCTTTGACAGCGCAAAAATAATGCAAGATGGAAAGTTCAGTAAAAGTGGGATGGTAGAAGGCTTCAAACCACTTATAGGCGATGACAAGGCAAAACTGGAAAGTCTCGAAAAACTATCGGCTACTTGTGAAGGCGAATTGGGAAATGGCGAAGACAAATGCGAAACTGCCAAACGCTTGGTCGAATGTGTCATCAAAAATGGGAAATCTCACGGTTTTGAAATACCCTCGCCTCGTGAATAATAAAGTAATAATTGTTTGTGTGTAGAAATAAAGTGTTGAAAAGATTTCCTTCTCAAACAAATCCCTCGCACTTCAAATAAGACTTTAACACCTCTTGATTTTCCTTTAATACCGTTCGCGCTTTGTAATTTTTCAACTTCTTTGTGGAGCTTTTAAAGAAGCTCCACAATCTTTGAGTTTTTCGGTGCTTAATTAAAAACGATTTTAAAAGAAAAGGAAGATTGAAAGGACGGCTCCTCTGATATTTTCTTAATCACTATATCAAAGAACGAGGGGAGCATTTAGTACAATCATATTTCCATTTTGAGACAAATTCGCACGAATATACCTAGTTAAGTGCCATCATAAAATAATTCCCACTTTGCGTGGCGCATTATACGCAAGAATTTTAACGCGGTTAAAAGTGACGTTTATGACACTTTACGAGGAAAAATACATTTAGCGAGCATTGTACGATGACGGTTTCGATGCTATTTTGCCTCTGCGGAGACAATAATAGGGATTAAAGACAACAATTAGACATGGAAGTGAGATAGACAAAGGAACTGGTGTCGTTTCCCACAGGATTAGATGCTGATTCACGACGTCACTAATTCGCGCTCCGGGATTATCGCACCATTATACCAGATATTTATGGTTTTTTAGGYATTCTACATAACCCTAACACCTACAGTCTCTCCTCAGCCGACAAAAAGACTATTAATCAAAGAGTTACAAAATTCACATTTTGATTTAATTCAAAATATTCACTTTTCAAATTTGTTCAAAATATGTATTAATATAAATCATAATCTCAAAGCTGGAAAAAAATTATATCATGATCATAACGTGACACTCGATACTAAATCATATTTGCAGACATCTGAGCACAAATAAATTTATACTCAATCTTTTTATTATACTCAGGTAGATTTTATTTTATGGTACACATTTGATAAAGAATATTTTTTTAAATTTAACCTTGAACTTTGATATTGYTTTTATTTCATGTGATAAATTTTTGTAAAACAAATAAAGATTTATTTAAACGAAAGAGATTTTTTTTGTAAATGTTAAAATGACAAATTAGCTATCTCACATTCTTTCCTGTTCTTTCAGATTTGCCGCCAGAACGTATTTTTTTAATCTAAAAAATAACATTCAAATTTGAAAAAATGTCTAACTTTAAAAAAATAATAAATAAAAATATTAATAACAACATTTAAAATGTTAGTGTAAGACTTATTGAAATATCGAATTACAAAAGACAATTAGGAAACTAAAAACTAAATTTTAAGCTCTTTAACAAAAAATAAAAAAAATCTTAGGAAAAAATTTGCAGATCTTAAAGAGATTACAACTAGTTCTGAAAATATCTTACTAAAAAAGTATCTGACTTGCAATAAAACAAAAAAATTTGAAAACCGAATTCATAAATTTGTAGTTGAAGAAACTGAGAAACATTTGTTTCAATAAAAAAAATACCACAATATTAAAGTTTAATTTTGCTTTACATCAGAATTTATTTGATATCTAACAAGCAATAAATACCGAAATTATCTCTATTATAGCCCACCATCATGCACAGATAACCATGATTCCCCCTATGACTTGCAAAAACCTATGCGAGTAAAAATTAATCAGAACATCAGCCAACCTATTTTAACAAATTATTGGAAGCAATCAATGCTAATTTATTTCATCAGACTTGATCAGAGCAATAAACAACAGGACTTCAAACATTTACGCGGGCAACATCGTAGAAGGCGTGCTCTCAATCTCGACCAATAAATGAACATTATTCCCCACTACTTCGTTCCGTAACAGAGGGAATAAAGCTCTCTAAGGATAATCAATTGTCTATTAAGTTCAGGAGCCAACTTTGTGAAAACTGCAAACGCGGAGAATGGAACAAAATGAGATAACTTCCAACACTTTCTAATTTAAATTCGTTCAACCCTAAGTTACGAAGTGGAGATCAAGTTGGAAGTAATTAAAATAAAATTATTATACAAACAAAAAACAAGAGTGCAACAAGATTAATTATCCTGTGCATATTGAGTCCATATGATAATMATAACAAAATCCTAAGACGTGACAAACGTCATATTTACAAATTCAAATTATTATTAAGTAAGTAATTTCAAATTTATTAATTTATTTAAACAAATTACATATATGTAAGTAGGTACTTACTATAATTGGTAGATGCCTATTTATTTTAATTATTTTTTGTTGATTAGGTATTTTAATGATGCGAGAAGAGAACAATATTATTTACCATAACAGAAGCATCAAGTATACTTAGAAGAAAATACAATTTTTAAATCAGAATATCTTACATAGTATTTCATTCATTGATTCAATTGGTCTTTGGGGCGTGGTCGGAGCGTTGCGTTGCCGCCCTTTTCCCTAAGCACGGGAATATAGAGTCCATAATCAGAATACAGGGCGGTGCAAAGATTAAACTCAAGCTTATCAACTCAAATACACCAGTATCAAACAGTTGACTGTCGACTGAATCTTCGCCAACACGCGTTGCCACAGATAAAGCTCCAAAACATACACTGATAAAAAATCGTCGCATTTTTTTGTCAAAATTGATTTTTGCGGTTTCGGATCCGATGTGGCATATGCGGGTATTCGGGAGCTTTTGAGTATGTGACGAGCGGCAACGTGTTTGTTTTGAAAGCAACAGATGATGTGTTTTTGTGATATTTTTGAAATTTGAAATTTTTTCAAATGGCTTTAGAGCTGAGTTCGCATCCTCCGATGCCTTTGGACTATAGTAATAGTGGAACGAGGGAAAATTCGAGTAGTCCGGTAAATGTTTCCGATTCGGCACCGTCGAGTCCGCCGGGAAGTAGCGCCTTCACGGTCGTAACGCCCAAAGGACGAGACCGTAAGTAAATTTGAATATGCAATGCAAATTTTTTTATTGTTAGAAGATGTCAAATAGATTAAATATAAAACATAGAATATCTAAACTATTTACAGTTTGAAATTATTAAAAAAAATAACTTTCACACTCGATTTCACTACGAGATACAGTAAGGTATAGAAGAAACAAATGATGTTAATTAATTTTTAATTAATATACAGGGTGCGCCAGAACTCCCGCCCCAGAGAAAATTTTTAAGTAAGATAAGTTACCAGGAACATGAAAAAAATGTTTAAAAAATTCTATCTCAAAAAATTTTGACATTTATTTTTTTGTCATTTGACATTTTTTGTTTATTTAATGATGATCTTGTATATGTTTATTTATAATTATTTAGTAAAAGTACAAAAATTTTGACAATAAAAGCCACAAATAACATTAAACAAAGTTACAATTTAGAATACAACTTTCTTGTATCCTCTTTTAAATAGCCTGTAGCAAAAAAACATGGAAAATTCTTTTTCCAACAGAAATAAATAAAGTCAATGTACAAAATTTAAACCCTCATAACTTCGAAATTTTTATAGATAGAATTTTTTTTACATTTTTTCCATGTTCCTGGTATCTTACTTTACATGGGATTTTTCTCTGGGGCGTGAGATCTGGCGCACCCTGTATACCTTTACCTATTTGTACAAGGTGCTTTTAATTTAGTTATTCATCCACATGCGATAGGTAGGTATACTAATTAATAACTCTCAGATTAAAATATCAAAAAATGCTTATAACATACTCTGACGTGTATACATTGTAGACAATAGAAAAAGTTAGATTTTTTCTTAAAAAGTCACGCTTTTCTAAAAAAAATTGAAAAATCTTCTTATAAGTAATTTTTCAATTGCCGTTTTATTTGTATATTTCAATGAAATTTTTGATCATACTCGTATAGTAGATTTATGATTTTAAAATTAAGTTGGTAATATTAACTATTAAATACCTACAAATGTCATAATTTTATTGTCATAATCGTCATTCTTTTGCCCGCGGTGGCCGCAGGCATAACATTCACCTGAAGCAAGCAATTACTAAGAATTCAATGTTGCCAATTTAATTTCAAAGTCATAGCTCACTTTTTAATCAGCAGAAATGTACCTAGTTGAATTTTTGATATATTAAATAGGTATAAGAAAAATTCTAGTTTAGTATTTGTTTATTTCTTTTAATTTTTTTATTTTAAATTTATTATTAATTTTTTTGTTAATAGAAAAAATACTAAAAATATGTATATGACTGTTGTGCTTCATTTGTATAGCCTTATATTTGATACTTTTAGCACGAAAAATCAAAATAATCTTTTTAGAGAAACAGATTTTTGGAATAACGCTTGTTTCGTTTTGCTCGGACCACCAAATAAATTTAATTCTCTTACGGTAAAAGTTGAGAATTAGGAAGACGGATCAATTCGACCACCAATACCTGCGGGGGTTTGAGATTGATAAGTTTTGGTATTTATGATTTAGATAAACAATAAGAGAGAGGTAGTTTAAAATAGTGGTCAAATTTAACTTCGAACATTCAATTACGGTCACATTTTAGACTTTTAGTTTGCTTTGACGGAAGCGGTTTGTTATTAGCAACAATGTCAAATCAAGAAGCGCAAAGAAGAAAAAATGTTGAAAATAAAGTAAATTATGTTAGTCAAAAAATTTATGAATATAAGTGAAAACAATATCTAGATTTACATTTGTTAAATCAGTATGTAGCAATGATTTGCCAAATTCATTTAATTAAATAAAATAAAAATGTTTTAGTTTACATTTACTTGATATTTTCTTTACTTTATCCTCCCCAAGGTTCAAGTCCAACCGATTTAAACTTTCTGTTTATTACCGGATTTTAATCTTTGCTAAATTTTATCTCTCCTTTATTAAGTTGATCCTTTGGATGTATAATATCGTGGTCGAATTTACAGACCCCCTAATACTGGTGTGATCGAATTGACATACGCTCGTTTTGCTATGGGTAACATTGACTAATTGAGTATAGAATAAAAAAATTAAAGATTAAAGAGTTAAAAAATTGTCTGTTACTCCTGATTTTAAAGTATGTCGAAATATTTTAACAAGTAGAGCTAAAAGAAGTCAAAATAACTCAACTTGCCTTATCGAATAAATTTGAATTTGGGGCGCAGCCTTTAAATTTACCGACTCAAATTGCAAATAAATATATGATCTCTAAAGTTAGCTCTTCAAATTCTATTACATTGTTTTTAAAAAATGAGTAAAAACCATCCAAAACAGACAGAGAAAAAAGTGTTCTCATATAAAAAAAATCATAAAACGGTAAAAACTTTGCATCCACTTTTTGTAAATCCGATTTTTATTATCTCAAATGTTACTGACTACCTACTAGCAATGTAAACTTTCGGATAAAGTACCTACTCAAAGTTTAGTTATTTTGACATTTTTTAAGGTCTACTATCATCTGTTAAAATGTTTGCATATACTTTAAAATCACCCCGTACATCTATGCTTTATTTTTTTTTAAATAATATATTCTAACAACATAATCTAACTTAATAGTAAGTAGATCTGTATAAACAAAAAACCCTAAAAATGTCAAAATCGCTGTTATCAGGTTTTTGTTTGATTTTACATTGTAAGTAGGTAGGTGATAATACCTACAACGTTAAAAATTATGCTGGCACTAGAATTTTCTTTTAATATTTGTTTTAATAACTCATGGATTGTTAAAACAGAGAAATTGAGAGCAAAATATCTATTCATTAGAATTTTGAGTGTCTCTCTAACAATTTTTAGCGCAAAGTTTAGCGAAATATTGACGTAAACAAACTAAGAACAAGTTTTTTATTTGTCAAGATTGTGAAATCACTTTATAATCCGAGTAGTTTAGCCCCCTTATGAGACAATGGCATTACAAACTGTAAACAATTAGAAAATTGAGACAAATGGGATTGTCGGGAAAAGAACTAAGCACTCATTAAGAAATTGTGCCGTCAAAGGATTTATTTCGTCAGTCGTATTTTGGACAATTAAACTTATCAGAAGTGTAGACGGTCTCATGAGTAGTTCCTTGCAACGTCATCGTCACAAAAAATAAAATTTTAACCCTATTTCTACGAAATAAATCTTGCCCTATTTTAATATCACATCAGTCCCCTGCGGTATAATAAAGATATCGAACATTTATAAACCAATCAGAGGTGCCAGTTTCATGTAAATAAAACTTATCGCAGTCAAAGCTTTGATTAAAGTAATAAGACGTGATAATATACAGAGTGGTGTTTAAGAGACGCTTCTACGCCAGTAAAACCGAAATGAAATTAAAAATAAATCTGAGTGTTACGCACATGTCCATCATATGAAGAATTTTTCTGAATCGGGTCAACGAATCAACATATGCACAGTGTAACTTACAATAAATAGCACAAAAACATCCAGGATTTGTAGAAACTCAAGACGCACACATGTGTTCTCAAGTCATTGTTCCCGGATGAACACTATAACGTAATTTAATACTCCCCCTCGTATAAAAACTTGAAAAAGATTTAATTTTTATTTTTACTTAAGTGCGTCATCATTTAGCTCTGTATCATATTTTATTGTTCTGAAAGACATAATAAGTTAGTCGAATGTGAGGAAAATTTTACAAATATGATTTGATAATTCTGATTAATAATTACGAGAGTAAAAAGCGGGCACCGATTATAAAAGTGATAAATGAAGAGATAAAACAGATCAGTCCGAGAGTTGAGTGCTGAAATAATTTGATTTCTATATCGAATTCTCTTTGAAGTGAAGCGCTAGATTGCATTTTGTTGGCGTTAATTGAAATTGACGAAAAAATAATTAGTTTTCCCTCGTTTTCGTCTCTTCTATCTGTACGCGTTTAGCAGGATGTGTAATAAACTGAATTCGGTTTTAACCCCGGTTGAAATTAGTCCACATTCATTCTAAAATGTAGACATTCACTCACTGAATTTTATCAATTTTTTTCAATAAAATTCATTATTTGATACTTAAAACATCCTGTGTTTGTCGGTAAGAAACCCAAACGTGCAGATGTGTATCTGAAGGCTTGTATCAGATTACACTCATTTCTTTTCGGTCAATTAATTTTAAATGCGTTATTATTTTTCAACAAAACAGATGAAGTGTTGTCGCAGCTTTTTGGCACAATATCTTTTTGTTGTTTTTTTTTAAGCAATAGAAGAAAAATGTATTTTTGATTAAACTGGAATGCGTTTGTGAATATTGTCAATATTGAATAGCGCTCATGGGCGCCGACTTTTCATATTTTCAGTTGGTGCATAAATAAAGAATTGGTATAACTTGCAGGACTTGAGCTCAATTACGGGAAAAAACGATTTCCCTATGTTTGCTGAATTTATTGTATTTAATATACGGAAAATATGTATAATAATATAATTTTTTGTATAGTACAAAAGAAAAAAAAAATCAATATATAAAATATGCAATGAAAAGTGTAAAAAAATAGTACATATTCAAAGTTGTGAAATGCTTCAAGTTGTTGCATTTTGAAAAATAATACACTACTGTTAAATTTCAAAAAAAAAACGAAATAATTAAAAATAAATGACTTTTTTTGAAAAGTTGCATGAATGTTTGTAAATCTATCGCTGAATACAGCTTGAGGGGTATTAACTTTTCATTAATGCAATTAATTTGAGATGAATAAAATTAAGATATRCAAAAGCTAAATAAATTGTCTCAAAAATTACCTAGTCATCAGTGTTGGTTTTTGATTTTTTACATTTTCAAAAATACCTATCATAATTTTTTTTAATTTTTGTCGAATATTGCTTTTCAAATTTAACATGCAAAATTGTAGAAAGGGTGRAAAAAATTGGTTTTTTCATTTTGATGATTACACAATGTCCAAAAACAATTAATTCTCTTAATTCTTTTGTAAAATTTTGATCAATCGGTCCAAGAAAACAGTTTAGAGCTTTTGAGCGTATGTACATTAGGCTATAAAAAAACCTAATGACATATTTAGTCTCCCCATCAATATACGTGAATACGCGGTAGATTTACTACAACAAAAAAATAATTTTTTCTCTTTTCTTTAGATCAATGTTGCAAGTATCATTTTTTTAAATCGTAAAAACATTTTGCAGAAAATTTATTCCAGTTTTCTAAACTGTGCTTACATTGGCTGTGTGGTCATTGGTTGCTGAGATATCCAATGATCAAAGACAAAAACATCTTTTTTCAGTAAAAGTCAAATATCTTAGCGACAAATCGACGTAAAGAGAGCATAAAAAAGCAAATTAAAACTGAATAAACAAGCTATCCGCCTTATTGTTTGATTTAATTAATAAAAATTTCCCCAAGTCCGTGGACCTTCTTAGGATTACCAACGTAATAATCGTATAGCACCAAAAATTTTTTGCCAAAAGATTTCAAGACTAGAAACTTGAAGCTTTAAAATAGATTTTTTAAAACTAAATACCTACGACCATTTTTCATTGAAGTACAATATTTTGAAATTTTTTTGTTCTCTAATTTTATTTGGAGTAGTAAAAGGTTTGTGTAAAATGTTTGAGATAATCAATTTTTTTTTCAAGGACTTTTTCACTAAAAAGTTTAATTTTAAATTAATTTGAACAATATTTAGAAAAACAAAATGGAATAACATAAACAATTTTGATCCATTTTCTCGTAAGGGAAAATAGAAAGATAGAAAATTTAAGACATCTTTGACATTAAAAGTGGTTTATTATTACTAAAAGAAGATTAGGATAAATACGAAATTCCAAATATTATGGGTGCCCAGCACCCATTAAAAAATTTCAATGGGTGCATGCATCCGTCCCGATGCGCCCATGATAGCGCTAACTTTATTAATTTTAGCCTGCACAATACTAGGTGATCAAAAAAAACACATAAATGATTAACAGTCACTACAATCTATACATTATTTTATGTTGCCAACTTAATTTCCAAATTAAAGGCTACTTTAGTGAGAAATTTAATTGAATAACGCATGTTTGTTAGAGAAGCGTTTTGCTTGCTGCTTCCTCGGAGGAAATCTGTAAATATTTAAGATCGATATATGGCTTAAGGTCAAAGCTGAATCTTTTCGGCCCCAGAAATCACCCGTAATAAATCCAATATCGAGAACGCGGCTTTAGTGGTTGATGTCTCTGGAGACATCTCGTATCACCTGACACCAAATCATAATTACGCTGGTTGCGACCGTCTCGAACAAAATCAAGTTCCGAAATCCTGAGAAAACTTATTGGAAAGATTTCAAATTTGTTCGAGAAAAGTTTGCTATTTTTATCCGCCACAAATCGAAAACTCGGTAAAATAATAACTTGTTCGTACAATTCAAAGCTTTTAGGAAAATCGCCGTAACAACATTGCGTATAATCGGATTAGAGAATTGTCAGATCTCTCAGAGCTTTAATACAACCGGAGAGAGCTTCAATCATATCGTTTTTAATATTTGATGGGCATTTAGCTCAATCATATTAAAGGCAAACTTGCTCAGTGCAAAAATGGGATATTTTACGATTTGTTGAACAAACGACGCACCTCAAATGGCATAAATCTCGAGTGTGTGGGACGAAAAACCCACAACCAGGATCGGAAATGACAAATTAATGCGTAATTGAGTTCGCTTGATTCTTAATGGAATAGACAGGGCGCCAGTGCAAGATTATGACCCTCAAAGCAGTGTGAGAGATTTCGTCTCAAAAACAATTCTATTAAAGCCACGTTTTTGTGGTTTTAGATGAATCACATCAACATATTTTAACTGATTTTTCTCTGTTGCAGTTATGTCCGATCGAAATGGCTCTCCTGTTCAGTTTCCTTCGCCGACAGCATATGCGAGCTATTGCAGGACACTCTGGGGCTCGCCTTTCATGTCAAGCAGCCCTCGCTATTTATCTCTTGCTCAGAACCATTCCGAACAATCACCCGACAAGTCGAAAGGTAAAAATCTTTAGGACCGACAAAGGATTAAAGTGGTGGATAATTGTCATATCCGACGCTCAAGTGGCGGCTCGTGTTCCTAAATAGACCTCACAAGTCGGTCATTACGTCATTTCCGAGCGCCCCTGTGTTTCATTAATTCATTGTTTAAACAGTCCGGCAATAAATAGACGATTTGTTTTGTTAATAAGCCAGAAATGAAGTGGCACAACAAAAAAATGAAAATAGACGCAGGAAGTGTTTGACTAATAAATTAAATATCAATTCATTTAAAACTAATAACCAACAGTGGATTTGTTGAATAAGTGCTTTTTTCCTTTTTTAAAAGAGAATGTAAACATCTGTTTTCTAAACTCTCTATCTAAATTAGTTTGCAGGCTAGGTATATGTAGTATATTTTCTTATATCCAAATAATACAATTTTATACCATAAAATATGTATTTTACTTCTATAAAAAATGTTTTAAGTTTGAACGTTAACTTTTTATCTTTTGGTAATTAATTTTCTGTTTGGTTGAATATTTTGACGTCTCCGATGGGATATCCGAGGTCAATAAAACTAAATAAATTTTGCAATTGACAAACTTCACGCCTGATTCTATGAAATAATAAGATAAGGGAAATTTATAGCCGTTTTAATTCGCACTTTTTCGATGATATTCTGTCAATATAACCGTTTATTACGGTGCATAAAACGCTTTACTTCATATATTAAACCCCAATAAAAATTTAAATGGTTTTTATTGCGTCATTGGAATGGATTTGTTCTCTAATAAATCAATATTTTCGATTGTTTTATCTAGGTAATCTCAGAGCTGAAGGTAAATATTGGCAAGCTTTGATGAAAACCGAGTAAGATCACCACTTTTATAAAAGCCAAATCTAAAATTTCATTAATTAGCGATTTTAGGTTATGAAAAATTGTTTTATCTTTAAATCCGCTCACAACGAAAATTTTGGTTTTAATATGTGATTATTTACAATATTTGTGACTGTTTTTTGCGATACGGTTGCTTTTTATTACTTGGGTGTAAAAGTTTGACGCAAATGTTTAACTTAAATATTTTTATCTAAAGATCTATAAGACTACAAATAGTTGTCATTATTACCGGATATGTTTTATCAATATTTTTCATTCCTTTATTTAATCAAAGTCATCGTAAATCTTCCAAAACGGTATAAAATCATGTAGTCATCAAATTATCTTTTACAAAACTCTTTTAAAGATAAAAAAATCAATGTTAGGTAATGATTAATTAGGTACATCAATTATAAAAACTGCAATACTAAAATTCATCATACTTCTTATACTTTGGTATTTTTCATATACCTACATAAATATACCGTGCCATTCAAACAAAATGAATAAAGATGAAGCAAGAATAACGAAGTGAAAAAAATACTGGAAAACCGGAAAAAGCTATTCAAAATAACAGAAATTGTTATCGACGATGGAGTTTTATTTGTAAAAATTCTACGCTCTTACGTTTTCTACCGGGTGACTGTAAATGATTGTGATTTTTGTCYTCAAGTTGATGTCAAAATTAAAATTTTAGTTTGGCAACCTTGATTTTCAAATTCAAACGTCAAACTTTTAGGTATAGGCATGGATTAACCATATTATGGTTAATCAATGGTATAGGCAATTGTCATTCATTTGCGAGGGGCAACTGCTGATTTAGCCATCACATCCTGACATAACATATTAGAAGGATTAGCAATAATTAAGTGTTGCCAATAGATTTATTTGTCATAAACATTAATAGTCGCCCGGTAAATTCTTAACTAATATTTTTTGAATTGTGTTTTATAATTTATTTTATCTTGAAAAAACAAGGAATTCTTTTTGTAGCTGTTCAGAAATTATATTTGTTATATTTTCAATATTTCTCAAGACTTGAGTAGCAAAAAAAAACTATAACCAGAAGATTAAAAAAAATATTTAAACAAAATTATGAACGACTCTACAAAAATGTGGTAACATAGATTGTTTAATCACGCAAAATTTATGTTTAATATTTTTTGCCAATTTAAGAAGTACACTATTAGATAGTTTAAAAATTGGGCGTGAGAATTAGGTTTGGTGTATGCAGACTTATAGTGAATTAGTAACTTTTTAATTTACCAGTTACGAGTATTTTTGTTGCAGTTTTGTTATTTTTGATGACAAAATACACGAATAAAAATAAACGATAAGTTCAAGGTAGCGCTTGCTTTTTGGCTATTTTACCCACATTTTACTATTTCTAAGCATCACGCTTAACCTGGATGATAAATGTGCCCTTGTTTGATAACTTAGAATTTGATAGTACCTAATTGCTACTTACAAAACTCTGTATTGATTTAGGAATTTTGTTGATAAATAATTTCTCGAAGGAAATGCTGATTTAAAAGAAAAACACAAAATTTCGACCACCGTGTCAAACAAAAAAGTTATTAAGACTTTTTTAGGGTGGTTTTAATTCATCCGTTTGTTATTAAACATCTGGAAGTCGTACATAGAAACCGTTGAAGTTGTATAGGCCAGCGGTATGTACGCAAGGATTATTCATCCAGACGTTGCTCGAGATAGCGGCTCGATGAAAGGACCGATAATGCAGGGATTTCAGATATCGATGTCAGTATGATGAATTACTTCACGGATTGTAAATCACATTTAATCTAACACGGGATTGTTTGAATATTGATTTTACAAGATCACAACGGACATGTGGTTTTGAGCTTTGATGCATCATATTGGAAATGACGCTCAAACATTAAACACACGTATCTTCCTTCCTGAAGAAAATGACTCAATACCTACTTAGTACTTAGAGATAGGGAAGAAGATTGGATCTAATAATCGATTTGCTGGAGTGCACTTGTAGTTATCGGTTGTCAACTTAAATAGAAGAGTGAATTTCAAATATGCCGAATGTGTCCCAATGATAATTCGATTTAGGTAATATTAAAATCGGCTTTATTATTTTCAAAATTTCATTAAATACAAGGTGTGTCAGAACTCGCGCCCCAGAGAAAAAGTTCAAGTAAGATAAGATACCAGAAACATGAAAAAAATGTTGAAAATTTTCTATAAAAAAAATTGGACATTTATTTTTTGACATTTGATATTTTTTATGTATATTTAATGATACTGATGATCTTGTATATGTTTTTTCTATAATTATTCAGTAAAAGTACAAAAATTTTGCCAATAAAAGCCACAAATAACATTAAACAGACTTACAATTTAGGATACAGCTTCCTTGTATCTTCTTCTGCCTGTAGCAAAAAAACTTTTTTTACAATAGAAATAAATAGACTCAAAGTGCAAAATTTAAACTTTCATAACTTCGAAATTTTTATTGATAAATTTTTTTTAACAATTTTTACATGTTCCTGGTATCTCACCTTACATGGTATTTTTCTCTGGGGTGCGAGTTCTGGCGTATCCTATATAGTTTTGGTGTCGGATGTAATTATGTACCCAATTAAAATTAAAAATTAAGTACCCAATTAAAAAAAAAAAACTATAGAACAGCAATTGCTACACTAAGCTCGTGATTAAAGTGGACTTTGACTTTTAAATAAGTTGGCAACGCTGAAAAACATTGAAGCTAAAAGTACAAGACTTGTCAATTTTCATACTTTCTGTTCTTATTTTTCAATGTTGCCAATTTAATTTCAAAGTCACAGGTCATTTTGATCATTCATAAAGTTAGTTGAACACATCTTCACTTGGCTATAGAAATCTAATAGTTTCCACTCTGTATATGAGTAAATCTGAATTCAAAAAATTAGGTAAAACCTAATGGCTTACCATTACAAAAATTAGACTAGTACTGTGAAAAAAAATCATAAACTTGTGCTTGTCTATTTCTACAAAGTTCTGATTTACAACAGTTTTTTTTTGCTTTCATTTAATTGTTTTAACCGACACAGTCGTGATATGAAATTTTTTTGAAACACTTTTTTCTTTTGTTTACTTACATCTGTAATAAATAGAGGCAAATAATTTGGTATTTTGCTATTTTCTTTATTAAAATAAAGCACATTTTAATTATTTTTTATACTCTAGACCAGAAATAAGTACATAGAATGTATGAAAGCTTGTAATTAAATGTAGGTGTACCTAGAGATTCATTATTATAGTAAAATATTTGCAATAAATAATTGTGTGAATCTTTTGTGTATGTTTGATTTGCGCAAATCCATCTGTTCCAGTTTCGAAGATTAGATGTATGACATTTAGCCCCATATCCGCAGCGTAACCAAATGTGCAATGAGCTGAATCGTGTTTTGCAAAGTGTAAATTGGTCTGAGCCCCCGGGACACGTCGGCAATCCTGCCCTCTCAATTAATGGTACAATGTCGGTCTGCCCCATGTATCTCTCTGACTTTGTGTTGTGCATGGGGGCCTATTTATCAGAGTGTGATAAATACGCACCGCCTCCTTTGTTTTAACCTATACAATGACCTGTCACCTGACGGAGTCTGACTCAGGGCACTATTTGCGTTCCTCCCCCTATAGTCGAGTGTTTACACAATGTTTGCGTTCACCTATCTTGATACAGTTCATTTCGGGAAAATGATATAATTAGCCGAGTCAAAATGCAATGATTAATGAATCCAAGGCGGGAAAGCGCCTTTATTTGTATTTCAATTATTCCTCTTGATTGATTATATTGACTTAATTGGAACGAGGAAATTAAACTTTAAATAAAGACATTAATAGTAATTCGTTTGGATAATTTGCCGTAGGAGTAAATGTAAAGAAAGCGGGGCGTAATGTATTCTTTTGATGGGTTCACGAATCATTAGGTTATGACCGAATAGTTTAACAGGGGTAATTCTTAAGGGTAACTACCCCTTGTTCAGTAAACAGTGCTCTGTTCATTTATTCCAACACGATACGCGTACAACATAAAGAATGGGGGTGTAATATGTACAAGGGTGGCTCTGAATAATTCATGACCTTACTGTGACAGCTGTTACTGTAACTTCTCTATATTGGCACTATTTTATCACTTACCATTGCTTTTTAAACACGTTATTTGCTCTTTTCCACTATAATAACATTTTGATTAATTGGAACTCGCTGAAAATCGAACACCTGCCGTTTTCAGATTTTTCATGATTGCTTTCATTCAATTATTCAATTCCACAAATTGCGGAAAAAACAACGCTCAGAATGATCGCTCTAATGGATAACATTATTGATGTCCGACCGACTAAAATAGACTCCTTGATCGCTTAAGCTCATATTCTGATTGTTTCTAAATCTTTCAGTGACAATGTGAAAGCAAACAAAACCTCGTGAATCATAGAATAAGACAAACACACCAAAAACTCAACAAATCTAATATTCTACATATCATTGCTACCGTATTTGTTCTACAACTATTGTTTCGTGATGTTATTATATCCGTTCGTGTCAAATTGACTAATCAAAAATTCCCACTGTGTCGAAAACAAATAACCAAAATAAACAGAACGGCCGTTTGGTTAAATACAAATAAATATTTTGTCATTTCGTAAATATTMATATCGATTTTTCACTGTGAAATTAAAAGCTCAACATTTCTGCAGCGTTAAGAAACAGACAATGGAAAAATAATTATATTTCGCTTGAAGCGGTAACTTCAAAATTACCATAATAGTGCTATTGGGAAAGGGGGTCATTTTAGGATTATAGTACCTAAAGGGTGCCATCAAAGGATTAAAATATGTCACTCGCTATCTTGTTTCACTCATTTCGGAGACAACCACCATCATTTAAATGCAATTTAAATCTGATAAAGTGTAAAAACTGTAGAATATTCTAAAAAGTAAAATAAAATCTAAAAATAAAACACATTTTTGTTATATCAAGATTTTAATAATGCATTGTTGTTTATTAATTTTTTTATGCTCCTTATTATTTTTCTAAAAGAAAAATTGATAGTACATATAGCGTGTCTCAAAATTCGCGGCACATTTATTATATTGTAAAAAAATAAAGCAAAAGAAGCATCAAAAAAAAGTTTAAAAAATCTTATCTACAATAATTTTGTAATTAGGAAGATCTAAAAATTGTATATTTGACTGTACAGTGATGGAAGAATGCTTGATGCTTCTKGCTACTTTTTACCTTTGTCCTTTGAAATGGTAGTYCTTGGTATGCCCAAAAGTATAGAGACACGTCTTTGAGACATATCCTTTTGTACCAGAGAGATAATTTTTATTTTATTAAACGCACTTACTGCTGGCATGTTCGAATTTGATTAAATTTGACAATACGTATTTGAATGTCAGTTATCATGACAATAAAGCACAGACTACAGTGAATTTTTGTGAATTCACAGAAATTGGGTAGACGAAATTCACTGTCCATCACTGTATCTATTTCTATCTATCTTTAAAGTTATTTGTGGTTTTTGTGATCAATAGTTTTATTTCTTTTTACTTGACAAATATGTTGCAACATCGCTTGACACAATAAACAAAAAAAGATTATTTATGCAAACTTTTAAACTTTTAAAATTGTAAATCAAATTTTGAAACATTTTTCTCATGTTCCCTGTGTTTTCAGTAATAATACTTCACAAAGTTGTATTATGTACAATATCAACAACAAGCGTTTAAGCTAAATATTTTAGTAAAATTGAAAATAAAAGATTTAGCACTAAACAAAAAAGCTAAAAAACTCTTTTAATATTTTATAAACCTCGTTTCGTCAACAATTTTTTTGAAAGTTTTTGAAACTTTTCCCAAAAGGCACGTTGTGTTTTCATTTTTTCAATAAAAAGTGTTTTTATTATTTTTTTACTCACATTTGTTCAGTACCTAGTTATCTGCATGGGTAATTTTTTCTTCGACCTAATCTTAGGTATATGTAGTTATGAAAAGAAATTTAGAAATACTTAAATTAAAAGTAGTTTTTGTATTCGTACTTTGCATTTTTAATAACAAATTTTAAAAAATATCAAAAACTTAATCAAACAAACCATTTTTGTTATTACTACTGAAACGGATCTTTGTCCGTCCCTGGCGGCGAACCTTAGGGACTCCGTTTTCGCGACAAGTTCATTCACGATGAGATGTACAAATCGCAGAGACATAATGATAGACGACCTGTTCACCCCAGTGTTTTCACCCCAGTCCTCGCCGTTAACAGTAAACATTTGTCATATTTCCTTCCGAAATGAATATCAAAATATCACCTTTTTTCCAGAACCAATCAACTTCGGCATCAGTCGACTCGTCACGAAATCCGACGATGAAGAGGAACAAACGAACAACAACAACACAAAATACTATCAGAAAGACGAAGGAAGTAGCGACGAAATGAAACTAAACGGCGATAATCGATGGGATAACTCCCCTAGACCCTCACCTAGCACATCCCCGGAGTTGGAAGTGGACTCTCCACCACATTCCCGGACCAACTCGCCTTCACCTCGGCCTCCTTCAGTGACCGAATTGAATAAAATCGAGACTTCGAAAAAATCTGAAGCGTTTTCGGTCAGCGCTTTACTAAGACCTGACAATCCAAAGAAATCAGACGGGCCTTGTTATCAAGAAACCATATCAGTAACTCGATCATATCTTTCTCCGCCATTCATGGATTTACTAAAAGACGCCCATCTTAAGTCAAATCCGGATTATGGTTTGTCTTTTCTTCCGAGAAACTTTGTACATCCCGGATTTTTCCCTCCCGGACTCTACCCCCAAAAGGAGAGCGAAGAAAGGAGCTTTTTGCCAACTCCTACGAATTTGTATTTTAGTGCAGTTGCTGCGGCTATGGCGAATGGACAGTCGCAACCAGGACAATATCCTCCACCCCCCACTTCGGAAGAGCTCTTTAGGTTACGGCATCACCTTATGAATAGTCCAGGGATTCATCCGCACCACCACCATCTGTTGATGAGGCCCGGAATGATGCCTCTAGGGGACGTTTATTCGTGTATTAAGTGTGAGAAGATGTTTTCGACGCCTCATGGACTCGAAGTCCATGCCAGGAGGTCGCATAACGGAAAAAGGCCTTTCGCTTGCGAGCTGTGCAATAAGACTTTCGGACACGAAATCAGCCTCAGCCAACACAGGTATTTCAAGCAATTTTTCCAGTAAATTGTTTAAATTTGCAGTTTTTCCAGAGCTGTCCATAATGTGGAAAAAGTATTCGAATGCAAACAATGCGGTAAATCGTTTAAAAGATCTTCGACTCTCTCGACTCATCTCCTTATACATTCCGATACTCGGCCCTACCCTTGCCAATACTGCGGTAAGAGGTTTCATCAGAAGTCAGACATGAAGAAGCACACTTATATCCATACCGGTAAGTTTACGACTAGACCATAAACCAATTTAATAGTTCCGCCAACTATTCAGCGAGTTAGTGATAGTAATTTATGATAATAAAGACGGCTTGTTGTATAGTGATACAAGTAGGGATGCGGGGGCGCTGTATCCATGCCGCAAGGTTGTTAACAGTCTGAAGTTATAACCCTACGCCTTGTCTAATTAGTAAATAATTCACTGGTAAGCCACGACGGCAATTAATAACGCGCTTAGTGCTAAGACGTTGCAGCGATAGRAAGGGTTAKTCGAGGGTGAATACAATATTGCCGCCTCGCCAAATTAGTTACCAACAATATTGATATTAAGGTGCTATTAATAAACGTCAATCGGGGCTTAATTCAGACTTGGGGAGTGCTCACTTCAATGGAGACAATGCTGTAATCGTGGTCAACAAATCGAATTTCAAAATCATTTAAAAAAGCAAAAATTTATTATTCTCCTCTACTACAAACAATGTTTTGTAATTAAAAAAATAATCTATTTGATTGACTCGACTTTTTTAAACACACTGAAATTATCAAAAACGTTTAGTTTATCCTGTAAAACATTTTCAAAATAACACAACTTATTGTTTAATTTTTGCATTTTTATATTTTTGGACATTTAAAAACAAATCATTTTAATAGTTGAATTAAATAATTCAATCTTTCGTATATAGGATGAGTCTTAACAAATACGCATAAACTTAGTGAAAGAAAGATTTTGATATGATCAATGATGAGTAAAAAATGCAAAATATGTTAAATAAAACATTTTTATTTTTGTCGAATGTCAATAAAAGGTACTACTTAACCTCACCTAAATAAATAAAATCGGTTTACTTAGCTTTTGACAGGCGTGGCGTCAATAAATGTAATCGACATTGGTGTTATCAGTACAAATTATTTAAAAGTTAAAAGTTTAATGTTTTTGTCACGGTATATCTCATCGGTAACTTAGAAACATTTACTAGAATTGTTTTTATTATTACTTAAGTTCGTAAACTAAACCGTATCCATAGAGCTATTTACAATAAATGTAACATATGGTTCATTCCTTTAGATTATGGGTATACGTATTAAATCACACCCTGTATAAACAGTAATTTTTTTAAACAAAAATTACCTACTCAAAATTTAATATTTTTTTGCTATTAAGAGAACAGGGATTTTAAACTATAAAACTTGTGTTGTCTTTAAAAAATTTTAACACTAATATTGAATCAGAAATGTTAATAAATTCAGAAATTGTTATAAAGAAATTTGTCAAAATCATATCAAAATGTAATAAGTAACGAGTATTTTTTTAAATTCGGCGTAAAAGCTATCCATAAAAATTCGATTGTGAACGAACCATCGTATTGAAAGTTATTAATCTGACATGCGCTACAAAAACAGTAGGTATAATTAGATATTAGTGTTGGAAAAAAAATTATGATTACTCTTTAAGTTCTAAATTATTCTTTACCTTTAGTTTTAAAACTGTCATTGCTTTAACTCAACTCAACTGTTATTCTAAATAGAGTTACTGATAGTTTAGTCCTATTTTTGTGTTTTTGTCTTCAAATTGTAATAGAACTCTCTTACTGACTTATTAAAGTAAATCAAAAACCAGAACTGCTATCTTTTTTTTATTAAAATTACCACAAAAGAATTTGAATGAATGGTACCGAAGATAAGGCTTTTTGACATTTCTATTAAAAAAAACTTTATAAATTAATTCTTAACTTAACCTTAACTTAAATTTTACTTAACCAAATTTAACTAAATAAAAAAAAAATTGTGAGTTTTGAATAAGAATTAGTATGTGAATATTCGAAATACCAAAAATACATAGTTAACTTTTTTTACTTTTACTTTTTATTTGATTTTTTGTCTATGTAAAGAATTATTAAAAATTTATTAAAAATGTTTGTATGACGCAGACGGGCATCAAATTTTTTACCTAAAACTAGTCGATTTAATAAAAATTAAGAGGATTTTTTGTTGAATTTTTTCTGGTTTTTGGCAATTGCGTGATTGCCGATTGTCGTCATTCGCGATTTAATGATTTGTGTGTGACAAACGTACGATGGCAATAAATCGCTTGGACAAAGTATCATTGTCTAATAGCAATGAACGTTTACCCTAAGTTAATTGCCATCGTTGGATGCTCTCCTGCCCCCGTCAAAATAATAAATAAGCCCAACGTCCCGCGTCAAATAATAATATCCGACTGCTGAGCATTCTTTTCTTGTTACCAAATCAATTAACGTCCGCGTCGTGTTTCTTATAATTAGAGTTTTTTCGCAATTAAGAAAAACCCCATTTTTAAAATTGCCAAGCGAGCTGTGAGAGCTGGCATTTCTCGAAGGGTAATTTTGATTGTGTCCCGAAAACAGCTTTTTCCTAACACAAAGAGGGAGAGAAGATTCTGTTTTTTTAATTGCGAAAGCCCTGCATGCGAAGTGTCACTTTTTTTCCCCGACCAATTACGGGACGACCGCCTCTCCCAAACACCCCTCTCGCGCACTTTCATTTGTATCTGCGTCTCGACGGATTTTTATATCACTAATTACTTTCCTGGCACGTACGAGACTTTAAGTGGAAGACGGTTTCCGGCGCCATTCGATCCTTGTTATTATTCGCAAGACCAGCAGGTCCTTTCCTATCGGAAATCTGTTTGCACCAAACAGGACTCGAATTAATTAATTACCTCGACCATTTCTAACAATAACATAGCTCTATTTATAAATAAAAAAATACACATTTATATTACATTGAATATTTTATTCCGAATTAATATGCAACATTTTTTGTAACGGTTTCCTTTCCCTCACAAAACTTAAGCCTATCAAATCTGTCAAATTTCTGAGATTCATCCAATTACATACTTAAATTATTTTTTGACAAATTATTTTTTTTATTTCTCATAATGAAAATATTGTTTGTAAATTTTGTTCTGAAAATAGTCTGCAAAATACCCCTTGTGTATGCCAAATTGATTCTAATTTAATCGACAATTTGACTTTCACTCGGGATATTACTAAATTGATAATTCTTCACTAGTGAATAAAGTCGGGAGAGAAATGGTTTATGCAAATTTATGCAAACAAATGAATTATTATTTATTTGTTAGGATTTGAAAAAAATAAGTATTGTTTATTCAAGTATAGTAAAATACAAGAATACAAAATTAAATTTTTCACATTGCAATATTTTTGTTATTCTTTGTCGGATTTCGACCAATTTTTGTTTCTTAAAGAAAAAACTTTGTAGATCATTGTAATTTAATTCAATAACATTTCTCGTTTTGTCTTCTAAATGTGATACTTAAAAGCAGAAGGCACTGTTTTTTTACTTATTTTTATACTGAGCTGTGGAGTGCGACACAGAAAAACTTTCCATAATTTTAATTCTTGAGACATGAGAGATATAAACCTTCAAAAAAAGCATTACATTTCCGATTTCAATGAATGTTCGTATTAAGTAGGCCGAATGTGCCAAAACGTAAAAATAGGCGCATGGAAGTTTCCAATAATTAACAATAATTACTTAGTGTAATCCTTTGACATTCCAAGTTTTTCAGAGTTTTTGTGTTCAAAGACGTACCATTAAAAAAGCAAAGTCTTTTTCAATACTTTGTATCTCTGGAGCACCAAAAGATAACATTTTGAAATAAATTGTTCCTCATTCAGAAAAGAATGGGCTATCGCCCGTTTTTACTTATTTCATCTGAAGTAAGTAAAAAAAATTAAAAACTGTTGGACACTATACAGCTTAGTATTTATAAAAAAGTAAAAAAAAACAGTGCTCTCGTCTTTTAGGTATAACATTTACAAGACAAAATAGAAATGTTATTGAATTAAATTATAATGTTCTGCAAAGTTTGTTCTTTAATAAGCCGAACAAAAATTCGTCGAAATCCGACAAAGAATAACAAAAATATTGCAATGTGAAAATTTACAAAATTTTAGTTGGCCGGTTAATTTTGGCGGCCAGTGAACAGTTGGAGACAAAATACTTTGGTCGTCAATGTCACTTGAGTGACATTAAATTGTAAAGCATGCTTTAGGACTTGTTAACCTTATTCATAGTTGGCAAGTTGTATGTACATATTTTTAAYAGAAAATACAGAGTGGTTATAAATGATTTTCATCTAGCCAGCTGTGAATTTTCCATRTAAAATAAAAAATGCCGCTTTACGAGAATAGGGGTTCCTACTTGTTGGAACTCAAAATTAAAAAATCGCCGTTTACTAAGCGTCCACTTCGAAAATAGACTTGTTTTCTTCCAAAGTATACATTATTATCAATTATTATTGGAAATTAGTTGAAACWATAAAAATTTAATCAACAACAATTTATTATTAATTAATAAGTGACACTAATGACAGAACTAGAGCTTTCAAAAAAGTAGAGCGGCACAAATAAAGTTACATGCAAAAAAACTCCATAGCTGGCTAGATGAAAATCATTTATAACCACTCTGTATAATAGCTGTCATTAATTTTGTAATTGTCATTCATTTTAACGTTAAAGCTTGAATTACATTAAAGTGTCAGAAGAGTGACGACCAAAGTATTTTGTCTCCAACTGTATGTTATGCAACTATTGGAAATTTTATTTATTTCCTATCTTTTATGGTCAATTTTGAAATTTGCATTTTTTGAGGCCATGCTATGCGCTTTTGTGTCTGATATAAAAAGGCATGCATCACTTTCATGATTTGTCATTTGATAAGGGGGATATGAAGTAAGGATCGAGTGGCATAACCGTGCATGGGGGCGCTAATAAAATTAAGACAACAAATGGCCCTCTACACCAGCATCACGCCACATGCTCCCAATGTCGTCTACATTACAAACTTCACTTACAATTTTCGATTGCAACCTCCAACCAGCAGTTACATAGTTCCATCCAAAAGTCCCTTGTCAAACTTTCTTTGGAATAATAAACTAAAAAGCATTTTAAAAGTCCGAACAGGATTTTCGTGCCGTAGGTTGGCAGACATGTCGGAA